CGCCCCCCCCCCCCCCCCGTGTCCCTCTGAGCCGTATTACTGTGGAAACAAGTGATAACGGATGTTGTGGAAGCTAGAAATAGACTCAGGAATTTTATACCACAATCTCTGGGATTTTACTGTCCACAAAATATTTTATTTCCAGCACCAGCGGGAAGCATTTGTAGTAATGTAGCTCGAAGTCTGGTTTGGAAGCACAACAAAGTCCTTCTTTCCTGTTTAGAATTATTTTTAATAATAAATCACAGAACATTTCATTTAATTTCATAATTTCTAATCATGAAATCTCAACTTTAAAAATAAATTAATGACTTTCACATTTATTTCGATAAAGTCACTGTAGCTTTGTTTATTAATTAACTGTGTGGCACAGGGTCTTTCCTAAAGAAAAAATAGTTTTAAGCCTAGAGGACTGTGGATCGTTTCTCCACTGTGGAAATTATTTTTCCCTTCGACGCCACATTCAACCAGTTCTGAGGCCCACTTAACATTTGCGGTCTGTAGCTTTTCGTGGGTGTGAGAGTGAAGTTACTGAAGTCAAGTTAACGTGAAGGATAATATTAAAATGAAATTTAAAGTATTAGGGTGTAGATTGAATTCTAAATTGACTCAGGATAGAAGCTCTTGATATTACGGTATTGAACGTCAGATTTCAATGCAGAGGTGATTGAGTGTGTATTTGCTCCTGGATTCTGCTCAATGGTCAGTTTGTAGGTGATGGAACTTAGCATTTTGATTCACTATCCACAGAGTTCCAAAGAAGGTTATTTACCGTGAACATCTCTCTAGTTACATCAGTAAAGAGTATGAATATTAAATTAATGAGCCTGGATTATTCATGAGTTGACTGACACCATGTACTTAACACCTGTACAAATCTACAGTCAACCTTATGCAACTAGTCGAATTAAAATGCCATGGGTTAAGGTCAGCGGAGTGGAAACAACAAAGTACGATTACAGAGCTACATTCTACCCTTAATCGTAGCTCAAATGCCAGCTGATTTATTACAGGCTACCGGGTCTAATTTACGAAAGCCATGCGTGTCTTTAAAAATCGATGTGGCGTAAAAGAAAATGTTTTTCAGTCATTCATACAAATAAATGTTCTTCGTTCTCTCGGCGATGAATACGACAGTATTTTTCCTCTGGGTTGTAGACTAGCAAGCATCTACTTGGGAGTCTACGCGACGACACAACCCAAAACAACGTATCATAATGATCTTAAGTCATACATTACGTGTAAGGGCTCTCATGGGACTATTTACCTACATTTTCTCTATATTTATTCGTATCAAATGTTACTATTTGTTAATATAACGCTATTTCAGTTGTTGCAGAAGAAATAAGTTAATATTAGTACAAAATATTTTATTGAATGTATGTAATAACTATGAATTTAATAAGAATATTCGGTTTAAATAATAATTTGTAGTTAAAATCAGTCAATTCTTCATCATATACATTGTATTTAAAAATAATAAATGAATCAGGCGTGTGACATTTTAGTCTACAATCTATTGCATATATGGATATTTGTATACAAAACTTACCATTTGCATAAAAAGTAGTAACTGAATATCTCCCACTGATATTTTAGTTTACGGCACGTAGCGGGACAAACTTTACTTTACTCCATTGAAATGACCTCGTCCCTTGTGCACTATCGGAACGGTGGTCTTATAAATAGGTTCTACCGTCATGTGATATTCTGAGCGTTAAGCCAAGGCCCATCTTCGGGAAAGGGTTCTGAAGACTTCACGACTACTCTTCCTAAAAACTGGCTCCTGTCACAAAAACCGAGGCCTCTGTTTATACAGAGCGAATGTTCAATGCACTCGATTTTCCTTTTTGTTATGCAGTCCCGCAGAAGAGACGTTATACACTCTTACTTGAAAACATCGGTCTTTATCCTGTTCTACAGAAGGTGTTATTTTTCTTCGCCTTGTGACTTATTCATTGCCTCAATTTCTGTTTGCACTCTAAAACAATGTTTTTACAGAGGCTTTTTTCAATAACACAAACAGTTGGCCCTTAGTCGGTCAATGCACAGCGTACAATGTGGCAGTTCTGCACGTCCACGTCGGTACCAATAAGTTGTGAATGACTGCTAACACAAAGAACTGGTTGGCACGGAACATTCATCTCGTATAGGCCAGTTCTACAACAGACCCATCGTTACTGTTGACAGCTAGTACAAGGAGTTACTAGTCAAAGCGTGGGTTGCCTAACCGCATAATTATTTAGATTTAGTAACAATTTCGACGTATATGGACTTTCTATATTGTGAAATGTCCAATTTGCAGCAGACGAATGAAGCCAGGAGCACTAAAATCCATCCTTCTGTTGTTCCTCATTTCCAATTTCATACAGAAGCACGAACATTCTTTTATTTATTTAGTGTTCTGTCTGACGACAGGTCCATATGAACAGGATCCTTCCATCCTTTTCTCGGACTGGGACCTGTTCATATACGTTCTTGGCAGATGATCCAGAAGTGGTTTGCCATTGCCTTCTTCTGTGTGTGAATGGAGTAATTGTTGGGATGCCACAGAGAAACCGGGGAAGCCCCCGGAGGAAAACTCCGTGTTGCCTAGACCACGGCCTTGCTCAACACAAGTTATAAATTCGGGCACCGCCGGGAATCGAACCCGAGACCCCAGGATTACAAGGTCAGCGTTCTAACCGCTAGACCACTGAACATTCTTTATAGAAGTAAAATATTTAAAATACATAAAACGATACAGCTATTTGAAATCTAAGGCTCCCGCTGAGGTAAAGATGTCGATTTTGATCGTCTAGGTTTCAACGTCGTGTGGACCTGTAGGTAGATACGAGCGATTCTGAGGAAAATACTGCCTCCATTTTCAGGGTTGCAGCCTTGACACTGCCTCGATTTCGGAGCGGCAGTCCTGAATTTTGAGACAGTACGATCTTCCGGACAGATGTTACCAACTTAAGTCCACACGACGTTACAACCTAGAGGACAAACATCGCTGTGTTGGTGGTATTGAACTGTCATAGTTTTAATTTATTAATAATTTCATAAGCATTACTAAGCAGACCATTCTGACACTTTATAACAGCAACTTAAAGAATTTAGACCTACAAATCAGACACGTGATCATATTAAATAAACTCTTCCACACTGACTTTCCATATGACTAAAATAGTTCATACGTCAGACTGCTTATATCCCCTCTCGTTTTAACGATCTGAAAATGAATAATGAATGTTGGAAAAATTGAAAGATCTACGTCTGAGAGGACAAATATATTGTAAAACTAATTTAAATGACAAAATTATATAGAGACACGTTTATAAATCGATTTCTCCGACTTAGTGTGCATAGCTTATGAGGTTTTTTCTTAAAACTGTAATCATGACAGGAAGAAATCTTTCATCTTTGAAATTTCCTAAGTAAACCGACATGAAATACTGCAAAATAATCACATTAATTTGTCATTGTCATTTGCGATGGTAGTAGAAGAATACAGTTAGCCTAACATGGTGTTAATTCGTCGCCGGAGGCGACACATCTTGCTGAACACAGTTATGAAGGACTAATTTCCGTCAGAACCCGAGACAGACACTCATAATGCTGCTGGAAGTTTTAGGTTACTGCAGACGATCGAAATCTTTACTTGTGTTGCTTTGTTATTATTTTATATGAAGAAGTTTCTTGAATGCTCTTCTAAAATCCATATTGAATATAGTGTATATGAGAGGGTTCAGAGCAGAGTTTACGTAACCTAGCCATGTCATGAAGTGTTTCAACTTGTCAGACGGGCAACAGGAAACACAAAATGGCACAATGACGTACATGAGGGAAAATGGCAGCCAGCACACCACGAACACGCCCATGATAATCCCCAGAGTCCTCGCTGCACGCCTTTCTTTAGACAATGATATCCGTTGTTTCACGTGGGTGAATATGTTCATCGGAGCGAATTTCCTGGTAGTAGACAACGGGACGCCGTCTGTGCCGGTCACAACAGTGGGCGTTGCAGGCGTGGATTCAGGTGATCCCAGGGTTGTGGTTGTTGTCCTGCAGGATGGCAGATTGGGAGATTCTTCGCCAGAAATATTCAAATTTTTCGGACACGGAGACCCTAACGGAATAGTTTCATCGTTGTTTATAACAGAATCTTCTGTCATAAGAGGATGTTTCTTTAGATTTTTCTCTTTAAAAGATCCACCTGTAAAGTTCCTCTCATTCTTTGATGTATTTTTCTTCGATTTTCTAACACTGATGTCTTCATATGTAGGACTTGGGCAATTAACATTTTGGTTTGTATCACTGCTAGCGGAATCTTGATCACGTGGCACATTTTGGTGCCGATTCCATTTAACATCATTCAATCTTGATGCACGCGCTCTTTGTCTCAGTCTCCTCTTTGCTGCTACAAATATTTCAACATAAACAACAGTCATAACAAAGAGGGGTATGAAGAACGAACCTAGTGACGAGTACACGACATATCCCTGTTCAACGGTGAGCTCGCACACAGTACCATTCCTCAGCACTGTCTCCCAGTCGTTCCACCCAATGACAGGAGGTGAGCTGATCAAAGCAGAGAGCGTCCATACCCCTCCAATCATGATGAGAACGCGTTTGACCGTTCGTTTCTGTGAGTAGTTCAACGGATCGGTTATTGCCCAATACCTGTCCAATGCGATGGCACACAAATGTAATATAGAAGCTGTGCAACAAAGTACATCACAAGTTAGCCACATTTTACAAACGTGTATGCCGAATTCCCAGCGTCCTAGAATCTGATAAATTACACTGAACGGTAGGACAAATACTGCGACTGTTAGATCTGCAACTGCAAGTGATACTAGGAAGAAGTTCTGTGCGTTTCGTAGTGGTTTGTGCCTGAACACGCTAAGAATGACAAGGACGTTTCCTACCAATGTCACAATTATTATCAGGGTTAGGATAATCGCTGTGGTAGCAGCTTCCCACTCTGGAACGGCTAATGTGATGCCTAAGTTGCTGTTGTAGAACTTCATCTGGACCGAACAGTCCTTTGCTGTATCATCTGCCTCGTTCCGTGACATTTTGAACACTGTAGCGCCGAACGAAGAAGAATGTGAGTGCATCAGTGCCTGCTCATAAAGAACAAAATATCACCAGGTATATCTGCACTTTTCCGATGAATAATAGTTCGTTTTTTTTCCACAATGTTCCTTTGAGTTGTTTTGTATTAAGAATTTCAATTTTAAGTTTATACTTTCGTGTGAACTGCTGTAATCAGATTTTAAAAATATGCATTCGATATAGTTTGAATTTACACTTTCTAGCACACGCCGTCATGTTTTATAAATATTCATGTTTTAGTGGCTCTCATTTTAGATGTAATGTTCGATAACGTATTTCAAATAAGTCAGGATTTCTAATATGAGAGTTAAGTATGATTATTTCTCTTTTGAATAGAAACTGCAGCTAAACCCACTGCGTAAAACCACTGAGGCTGCAGAATTCTTCTCTGCCGAGTGACCAAGACTGATGTGAAGATGTTTTGCTGGCAGAAAACATCGATCTCTCTGACGGCTGTAGGAAGTGCCCACAGATGTTACACACTGCCAAGCTGTTAGTTTTCACCACCAACAATAGGAAGCTGTTACGTAATTCACCACCAATATCTGGGGGAAAGATGAAAATCCAGGTTTCCTGAAATGATCAGAACACAAAAATAAATAAGATAGTGTAGTTGCGTCATATTGTGACTTATTAAATTAAATTAAATTATTTGGTTATTCCGTCAAATCACAATGTATTTAAAATAAGATAATTAAAATAATTAAAATATCATTCTGTGTTCCATATCGAATAATCGATTTACAATTGGAACAGTTACAACATGTTTCGGTTTTATTAAACCATCATCAGGTGTAAAATTATATTAAATTTAAAACTCAATTACAATTTTTTACAATTCATATGAAAATATCTGGACACGACCTCCAAAA